CTTACTGCCACAATCGTCGAATGTCCAGGAGGACACATGTTTGCTGGCGTGCCTGCTACACACCTCCCTTCCTCCCTTCTCGGTCGCCGTCTTCGGGATAGTTTCCCTTACCCCCTTCACGTCCAGGGCTTCGGCTCCCTCCTCCTAGCCCTCGTCATATGGCCTAGGAGTTCCTACATTGGATTTGAGTTGTGATTGTTGGCCCTTAGGGGTTCGGTTTGGGTTTCTGTCTTTAGTTGTTTCGTTCTTAGGGTTTTGGCAAGTTCTTACTTCACTGTTAGGTAGTTAGCTTTCTTTTGTTGCTAGGGGGTAGGGGTTATCGGGTGGAGCAGTTTACGGGAAGGATTACGGGCGGGAGTAGTTTTTTCTACCCCTGAGGGTTTTTTTAGCTCCATCATTCGGCCTGGTCCGTGGGGGGGCAGTTTTTTAGGCCTCATAGCTAGCACTCCATTTGCCTTTTGATCCCATAAATAAAAATTTAAATAAGTCAAACAAAAAACAAATCCCCAGCTTTAAAGTCTATCATTAGCGACCAGAGAAGAGATCTTATCAATATATTCATTCTACTTTACTTCTATCTTTACAAGCCTGCTTGACTATCTCCAAGTTAGAAGATTATAGGGCCTAGTATATACTTGCTTAACTTTAGAGTTACCTACCCTCTAACACTTAGACCCTCTTGTAGGTGGGAACCATTTGTTTAGTTGACCGTTTTTAGAATCTCTTCCTTGTATTGGGCCTGTATTGGCAAGTCATTTATATTCTTTGATCCTGTGTCCTGATATTCTCCATTTTAAGCCCAGGTTGTTTTTCCATCTTCACAGGTATTCTTCCTTTGACAGGTTGAGTCATGGTCTCTTTCTGGTAGCATCTAGGTCTATTGCATCGCCTCCTTGTATGGTAGTCCTAAAAGTTCCATTCTTATCCCTTGGTGACACTTGGTTTCTTGTGTTAAGGATCCAAGTTGTCGTTGACTGATTCCTTTGTACTCAATCCAATTGTCCGAACTGTATTTCCTTTCTAATGGTCCAGTAGGCCGTTACTTCGGTAGTCACAAATCTTTCTTTACTGAATCTCTATGCATCTTGATAGGTTTTTTTCAAGCCTTTCATGAACCACCGCATTGCTGAGGCTTCATCACATTCCACATCATATTGGAGTAGTCGGAACTTGTACCAGTAGTTGGTAACATTTCTTCTTCCTTGTTCAATGCTTTCCAATTTGTTTTGTGCTGATTGACTAAGTTCTATATCTGTGAATTGAGCCTCAAATATATTTTTGAAGCTGTTCCTATCGGTCCAGGGTACCAGAGTTTGGCTAACCACTATGGGAGTTACCTAGTGTAGGGCAGATCCTTCTAGTAGGGTTAGAGTGTATTATATTTTGCTATTGTTATTTCCTTGTATCCATTCTACTACATTAAAGTAGGTGAGGTGTTGGACCATGAACCCTTGTAATCTGCTTGTTTCTCTATCGTATCTGGGAGGTGTCTTTATCTTTAGTTTTTGTCCTCCTCCTTTTAGCGTCTCCTTTATTATTTGTTCCACTTTTTCTCACGGAATCATATCTGTTAGTACTAAATCCGCTAGTAGCAAGTTTGCTGGTAGGGCTAGTCCTGACATTCTTTCAGGTCTTGGTGTCTTTGGTATTTCTTCTTCATTCGGAGGGGTAATCCATTCAAGTGTAACTAGACTTGCGGTTCCAGCTGATTGTTGACTTGCTTGGCTTAGTGCCTCTTCTAATTCTTCTAGGCCTAAACCGTCATCTTGGAGGTCGATGTCTCTTTCGTAATCTCTGTTGAACGAAGCTGTAGTATATTCATCAAGTGTCGTATTGTAGACATGTTCTAATGTTAAGGATCCTACCAGGGTGAAGATGTGATAGATAACGATTCTTACTTGGTTAAGATAATAGTTCTTAGGTTATTGCCTACGCAGAAAGTCAAGTCCTTTAACTTCTATCTCGTTGCACCTATTCCCTTAAACTTATTAAGTCCTTGCTTAGGACTTAACCTTCGTCGTCGTGGAAGGAATGACAATTCTTGGGTTTCTTAAGATAAATCTTAAAGAGCATAAAGATAGGTTTTATTGATAAAATATACATGTAGGAAATAAACGAGAAGAACATGTAAAGAGCTCATACTTGGAGTCCTAGTGACCTTTTATATAGTCACTCTTCACCTGGCATGACTCATTTCTCGTATCATGTGAATCCTGTGACTTATAACTATGAGTCATATAAAATCCATCAGCTAACTCCTATGAGTCATTATGCAACATACCTAAAACCAGTCAAAACATAATAACCAAGTCAAGTGCACAACTCGCGTCACCTGAGCGAAACCCATGACTCATAACTTGAGTCATGTCTGAAAATCATAACCTTATGGTTCAACAAGGGAAGACTGTCAACCATGTGGCACAGTCAAATGCAACAGTGGCTGTACAACAGAAGTGCCAACCCTATGGCTGGTAGGATGTGGAACAGAGTATAGGATTAACAATGAAAGAGTATCAACCATGTAAGACAGAGAAATATAACAGTGGTTGTGGAATATGAATATAAAGACTATTAGTGATAAACTATAATAGAGTATGAATGATGTATTTGTTGTATTATATTGTAGAGAGTTCTGCCTTATAGCTTCTCTTTTCCTTTCATGATTAATATAGTGGTAAATACTGATTAGTCAGCACCTTCTTGTTGCATCACACTGCCAAGACCTATAGTTTTACACCAAAATCTTAGATTTAAAAGCTGTATTCTGATTCTCCCATTGTCTTTTACAATTTAAAAAAACTGTACTTATATTCTCCTTTACTTCTCTATTTCTACAGTTTTTCTATGTAATTTGAGCCAGTTTTGGGTTGGGAATACAGCCTTGAAAACCTCCCTCAATGAGGTTGACAGTTATCCATTTTTGCACTATATGTGACTCACAATTGTGAGTCACAAACAGGTAAACATAATAACCTATGGCGCACTAGTGTGTGTCATGTGAAATCTCAACATTCCTATAGTTTGTAATTTCGAACTATGTGAAATCTGCCTTTCTTAGTTACAGTTTGTGACATAACTAACCGATTCTAACCAATTAAGTCTTATCCAATAAAGCAGAGCTCCTACTATATTACCTAGTAAAATCCCCTTGGTCTTATAACTCACATCTCTGCAGAATGGGCTACATAATTGCCTTATCATTCTATGTGATAATATGATATTATTATAATAACTATGGCAGGACCTAGAGTCAAATATGTAACCTTATATATTTAGTAAAGTGTTATACTGATTGTGCTTCTATAGGTAACAGGGTTCTTTACATATTTTTCTAAGTTATTTCCTATATATATACTCTTATAATAACACATAATTATACTTCCTACTATAAACTTAAGACTTGAGAAATGTTTCTCCTCTCCTGGTACAAGATCTTGTCTCAGAACAGAGACTCAGACTAAGAGTATCAGTCTGAAAAGATAGAAACCTTAAACTTGACTATTCTATCACATAGGTAATAGCCTAAGAACTAGACTCTTATCCAGGATTTTTAATAATAGATTAGTTTATTTATTATAGATAGAATTTTACCCCCCTCTTTTATCTTCTGATAGCTTATGCTAAACTTTAGTTTCTTAGTCAGAAAAAAATATTGTAGAATAATACTATGGCACATATTTACTATCATTATGATGTCCTACAGGAGAGGCTTAGTTTTAAAAAACTAATATGGTCTATAAACTCTTCTAACCTAAATCCAATGAAAACTATTTAATACAAGCTTAAGAATAAGCTTCATGAGTATATAGATCATTAAATAACTACAAGGAAAATCTGTATTGTCTTTGAGGTAGTCTGTTCTGCCTTTTTTTATTGTTTCTATTTTTATCTAAACTAAATCTACTATTTGTTATAGGAGTAGAAAAACTTTCCTCCTTCTTTAGTTAATTAATAAATATACTCTATGCCAGTGTCTGCATGTATTGAAGCATGTATCACTAATAATGGAGGAAATAATTTAAATTTTTTGTTGATCCATTGGTTATTTGAGTTATTATTATTGTTATTATGTTTTTTTATTTTATCTTATTTCTTTCAAGTCTCTAGTTCTGGTAAAGTGAGTCGATAATGTTTCAGGGTTTTCTGTGCTTATGTACACTTCAGTTATTCCATGAGCATGTGCCCATTTATATAACTTTCATTATTTTGACTAATACAAATTCCTTCAATGCATGCCTATGCATGCTAATGCAAGCCTGGTCATGTTCACAAACGTCACGACATTACCTGTAGTTGGGCGCTAGGCAGCAGGGAGCGAGCCATCCGAGCGCTAGATTCCCGGAAACTGGTGTTGGCCCCTGTTCACACACGGTGGGCGATAGCGTCTAGGAGAAAGAGACGAAAGATGAAGGGGTACTCTTTTCGGGCCTAAAAATGAGCCAGAAAGGGTGAAAGTTTGCCCTTTTTGGACGTATCTTGGAAGGGCCCGCACACCCAGTACTCAGGTATCGGTGTCATGCAGGAAGGGATCATGCTTCTAGATTTTACGCAACCCCGAAATAGACCGTTCGAGAGCTGCACTACCAATCGAATGTAAGAAAGGAATCCGACGAGAGTTCCATAAAGTCTCTGAATACAGGTAACTTACTCGAGTACTAGCCCTCCGAATTTTCGGATTCCAGAGCATCTACTTTAGGCTGTGGATGCTGGCTGGTGCCGGTATTTATAGCTTGTATCGAAACCCGTTGAAACTCAAGGACAAAGTGGACCACTCAGTTGACGCCATTTTGCCGCCACCTCCCCGGATCTTCCCACCAGGCACTCGCCAAGCCCGGCAGGGATCGGCTTTGATCATCTCGGCAATGCGCTCCGACCGCAACAAGAGTCCTAGATGGGAGGGAGTCCATCTGTCACAAATAGAGTGTCAACCGCCGCCAAGATTGGTGAGCTCTGTTGACCCGTGAAATCCCCCCCGTGTCCTCTCGCTCCTTGATTTCCTTGCGCATGTTTGAATTCGCTGTTCAATTTCCCTGGCACTTTGCTCAATCACCCGCGCCATAGTCCCTCCACCCTCACCTCACCTCCTTCTCTCCTCCTTCCCTTTCTCGGGGACAGCGCTCCTTTTCCCGATTCCAAAGAGCCGGTTTCCTTCCCCTTCTATTTTCTTTGCTCCCGGTCGCTCATTAGCTGGCAATCCTCGGATCCTATCCCCTAGTATTCTCCTCACACTTCATTCCTGCCTCACTTCACACCCGGAGTGTGCTAGTTTATTGTAAATTCTTTGTTTGTTCATCTTTCCATCTACCCAGTCATTCATTTCGAGCGGCCCTTGGAGATTGCATACCGAACCCGCGTTACACAGCATCAACCCTCTTTGACAAATCCTCCACCCCGGGCCCCGGATACCGTCACTTCCAGAGGTAGGAAAGCTGGTATCCTACCCTTCGAGGGAGTCTACAGCTCGTACGGTTATGGCCGTCATCCGGCGTGATATCGCTAGCGGTTGGCGGGAATTCAGTGCTTCGTTAAGCTCCTTTGACAAATGTGAGTTTTGTTTTGTTCCCCTGGCTGTCGTGGGAACCTTCTGGACCATGCATTGGACCATCCCCGTGTGTTTAAACCGTTCTAATAAAGGGAACCAGGTATGGAGAAGAGATATTGCAAGTGGGTTTCACGTCTTCACTCGGGCTTGGGCCTCATCAGCCACCATCACCTCCACAAGGCTAACCAGTCTCAGGATCCCCTTCATAGTAATCTGCATTATCGGCGGAATAATCGCCCTTTCCATTCTATGGTGCTTCCTGCGTTGTTGCCTCTGCGGGTATCGATGTTGCGCATGTTGCTGCGGAGGGTGTGGTGGCCGACGGGAGAAGAAGTCGAAAGTCGACATTTCACCCCCAGCATCCGCACTCGTAACACGTGAACCACCGGCCCCAGAGCCACTTAAATATGCATACTTTGATGCCCACAATGACGATGCCCTGCCCATTATGCCAACGCTGGAAGACACAAAGCATGTCGCTGTAGAGGTCAAGGTCGAGGAACACGAGTTGACGCCAATGAAGGGGGCGGGTGCTGAGAGGAGCTTGACGCCGGCAGCTCAGGGACTCGAGCGCGAAGTCCGAGTTCCGAGTCCCCTGCAGGCCCTACGACAGGCGGATAAGCGGGCCCGGACGCCCGCAGGTGGTTATGGGCGGGATGCATACGGTGACCGATCGGCCGCGTTTGGAGCACCAAGTCCTACATCCGCGTACTCCTCCCCGGCTCCGCCCCCTGTGGGAGCCGGATACCCGGAGGGCGGGGTGCATCAGCAGGGACGCCGACGCGAGCAGTACGCAGGACACAACACCGGTCACAACGATCATCACCTCCAGCAACCACAACCACAGTGGGGGGACGGTGCGTACCGGAACACGGTGCAGAATGCATACGGCGCTTATGAAGCGAACCCGTATCAAGCCCCTCGACGGCCACGACAGCAGCAGCACCAGCAGCTGCAGCCGGCGCAAGATACTTATTACGATCAGCGGAAGCAACCACAGGAGTGGACCTTGGTTTGACCCGATTACCCTGCTTTCTCCGGTAGAATATTTACCCTTCTATCGTCTGGTTTTTTGCCTTTTTTTTTTCTTTCTCTCTTCTGTTTCCAGTTTTAGGTTTCATCTTGCTAGCCATGGGTTTCCTTCTTCGCATAAATTTGCTTCTTCACTTCTCTGAACATCCGGCCTGTGTAATCCTATAGAAGGTGTTTTAATTGTTTTAACTCCCGAAACCCCTCTTTTCTTTCACTTTTCCTTCTCCCCCTCTCTCTTGGAGTTGTATGATAAGACACGGTGTATGTATTGATCAGGGTATGGGTATGAGGGCCGCTACTCGAGGTGTACATGTACATTTAGCCTGTAAGAAAGGAGGAAGGAAAGATTCCGTCCCCAATTGACAAACTCCATCCTAAAGCTCCTCGAGGAGGACGGCTCCCCCTACTACCTTGCCAGGGCACCGTAACGTGCCAATAGTCTGCCACCCACAGTGCTGGTGCTGTTGCGGAACCTGGATGATAGCTAGCAGGTATCGTGCACCGACCAACCCAACTTACGTCCGGCATTCCAACTCTGCCAGAACTCCAAGTATGACACAAACAAGTTACCCTACTCAAGGCCTAACGGGAAACCCACGAGTACCGTAACGTATGTAGCGCGCTAGTAACGTCCCGCGCTAGAAGAAACCTCACAAGGCTGACCCGCCATCAAACGCCCCCTCTTCCCCCGAGCACGAAGAAACCCGCAGGGAATTCGAAGCCGGATAGGGATTTCCCAGGATCAACCTGATTTTGCTGAGGTTTTGACAGAAGGCCTGGTTGTCTGTGCTCGTAGAGTTTTGATGCCTGGGGTGGGGGGATGGTTTGGCGTTGGGCACTTACAGTGGGTAGTAATGCTTGTAGCCGTATGTCATCCGGTTGGAACAAGTCTGGTTCTCGGGTGGATGGACAGGGCGCGGATTTGCAGATTGACGTGTGAGTGAGTGAGATGGGATTGGATGCGTGTGGGTAAATTCAGCCCCTCTAACTTAGTTGCTACCTTACCGTACTCGAGCACCGGTACCGTACCAGACTACTATACTTGTACCGCCCGTGCGCACAAGGCCGCATGATCCATGATGCAGCGAATCGCCAACAGACAGCTACAGCCCCGCATAGACCTAACAACGCCCAGCCAAGTCACGTACCTTACTCGAGCATGCAGTCAGGGTGCCCACTGCCGTATACGGTACGGTGCAGTACGGTACTGTACTAAGTATGGTGACTAGAATGCCCAAACAAATGATCCCTGTCCCGTAAGGAGAATTCCACAGTATGAGTGAGTGTTTCTAGCACCGCATCATAATTCTCAGAAGGGTTCGAGTTTCCCGTTGTGGGTGAGTTGGTCATCGAGGTTTTGGTCATTTGTGGGGGGAATGTTGGTCTGTAGGTTCGAATTAATTTACTTTCAGGGTATGATACTCGAGTAGGTAGATTTCCCGCAAAAGGTGGTATGATACCATATTAAAATATCGCTTAGTCATTAGACCTGGCGTGCGCAGAGGGTTGATTTTCCATGATTCGGAGTCATATATATTCCGGTAGTATCATACCGTACTGTACCATACCGTACATTATATCTGTAAGGTGATGGGATACCAGTATTGGTATCACAATTTCACTGCTATGCCAAAGTAACATGCAAACGCTGCAGAGTGGCATTTCCAGGGCGAGGGGATTCTGAGATCTTTCCCATAGTCTACCTTCGCTTAAACTAATCATCAATGAGGCTCCCGATGATGATGATGATACCATCGGTACCGTATCATACCAAGGATTGAGGAAAAGCCATGGCGCACTTTTGGAATCGAAAAAAGTAGGGGACAAAGGAAAAAAGTGCCAGCCAGAAAGAAAAAGAAAAAAGCCCAGAGTCGGGGGAGTAAGCTGTGGAGTCGTGAGGGTCGTACAAGTACAAATACGCCCAGCGATAAGAGCGAGCAGGACGAGGCGGAAGAACTTATGACGTAGTTGCCCTTCCATGATTTCGCCTCTATCTCACAAAACCAGGCGTATGATGATGATAGTAGCCTAGCAACGACGGACGGACCGACGGACTGACGGGCAGGGCAGTCTCGTTGGGTGAGTTATGACATCTTGTCTGTTTTTTCCCCTCATCTTTCCCTTCCTTTGCTCCTTCGGCGTGCAGGAAGACTGTTATAAAACTCTCCCCTTCCCCTCCCCTCCATCATCGTCACTACCACCACGCTGCATTAAGCTCTATCACCCGATATCGAGATCCAGAAATTCATCCTCCCTCCTATAGCCATCCAAACCAAACCAAAGCAAAAAAAAACAAAAAAAACAATCCCCTCAGAAGAAAATGTGCCTAATATCCTCCCGCGACGACGACTATCCGCCCGCGCGCCAGGTTCACATTTACCGAGATGGGACGGTCACGCGCCAATACGCTACGAGTCCTCGGTGGAGTTACCTTTCCTCGTCGAGTATCGGTGGTGGGAGATGCAGCACCAGCCGCGTGCGACATGTCTACCCTTCACAGTCGCTGGGGAGCCGGGCCAGCTTTGCGGGGCCTCCTGGAATGATGGTGATGAGCGGGAGGAGGGGGTATTATTAGGTTGGCGAGGGGAGGTGAGGACGGTTGAGAGGATGGGATGATTGGGGGAGCGAAATGGCGTACCTTGCTTGTTGAATGGGGACTTGTTTTATATTTTATTTTGGTTTATTCTCTCAATGTATGGCTTGTTAACTTGATGTTTTCCTTTATCTACTCCCTTTTCCCAGACTTCCTCCCGGGTTGATACCTATCACACACCCCGGGGGATCATTGCGGGGTTTTCGTTCTTGAGCCTGTTTTTCTTTTTTTCAATTCAATTCAATTCAATTCAATTCTTGGCATTGTTCATGATGAGAAGGTTGCTTTTTCTCCTTGGCCAAGACAAAGCCTTTGCAAAATTTTACGATCCCTCACGATCTTCTGCAGTTCTTGCCGTGCCACTGCTGCTGGTAGTGGCACTCGAGTGGCACTCGAGTGGGGGTATACTATCAGCACCAGTATAGTGCCGCACTGTGCTGTACGGTACCTGCTGATTGAACTTTCCGGTACGCTCTTGGATTGGACCACTGTACCTCAGTTGTACTCGAGTACTGTACCGTCCCGAGCGCAGCACTGGACCACCCGCATGAGATGGTGTATGCGGGCGGAGTTGATGCCGATCCGACCATTCGTTCATAAATTACCGATACTAGCACGGTACTGTACTGTATTCAATTCGATACCTGATACTGTAGGATTGGGAAGCCGCGCCGGGCACAAATTAATAGGTATGGTACAAGTTACTACTGTAGTACAGTACATCACCGAGGCTGTCTAACAAAAACCGACCACGGCAGAGGCAACATCGCGGAAGAGTGCGAACGCACGAAGATCACGGGTTCTCATCCGGGTTCTGGTAAATCGGTAAAAATAAAATAATAAAAATCTTGAAGGTGAGAGTTTGTCCCGGTACAATTTCAAAAGCGTGAATCTAGCTCTTGATCGGTTCTCTGCGTGAATTGCTCGAGTAGTCTACTAATACCGGTACCGTAGTATCGTAGCTCGTACTCTATTTGATGGGAGGACTTCCTTTAGGGGACTCGCGCTAATGGGTAAGACGAAACCGGAACTGTGGTGCCGTTTTGGCTATTCGCCGGTGCCAGTAGGGTATGTAGCGTACCGGTACTTGTTGTAAATACAATACTGTACGAGTACAAAATTACCGTCGCGCCCTGCTATCCCGGATACCGCAGAATCTTCGGCTCCTGCAATTGGAAACGGAAATGGGGAGTTTCGGATTTGTGCTATGAGATTTTTGGGAAAATCAGATTCTCTGATCCTATAAATGCTATAACTGCTATAACTGCTGGCGGAAAAGCTAGTGGAGTGGAAGGGTGGTAAAGAGTTTCCGAAGATAGGGAATTAGGAAGGGCGGGGAAGGACATATAGTGAGAACACCAGGTTCACAGTTCTTGAAAACCCTCCCAACAGGTGATAATTCACCCGTCCTTCAAACCCAAAACCTGTTATTATACCAGCCCAGTCAATCAAAGAGGAAAAGAAAAAAAAGGATTGAGCCAAGATAGAGGCAGGGTATATTCCTGGTAGTGACCCAGAGGAGGCGGAGGAAGACGGAACATCTGTGCCTACCGGTTGGGTAAGTGTTGATGCTGTCTCTGACAATCTGTTGAGAGTAAGCTTCTTTCTTATCACAATAGAAATACACATTCTCTGCAAATTAGTGATTACTCTCTGTCTCTCTCTCTCCCCCATTGTTCCGGATACCCCGTCGTTCCGGACGGAATCTGTAAAATCTGTCCATCCGAGATAGGGTGCGGGGGGTTGTAATTGGCTCAATACCTGCACTAAGGCCACCGGAGGTACTCGAGTACCGTATATCCGCGGTGCGCAAAAGTTGAGTTCGGAGACTACCGTACTGTACTCGTACAAGTACCATATACCGGTAGTCTACTATCGGAAGCCATACCGTAGCATCAAACCCGGCCCTCAGAACCGGATCCGGCAAAGCTAAATTAGCCCACCCGCAAACAATCCTCTTTTCCCCGTCCGCAATTTTGGCGGTTTCGGTTCAGCCTGAAAGCGACAAGACAAGTACAGTACTCGAGTACCGGTATCTCACTGTAAAGGCGACCCCCTGAGCAGCGCAGCAACTTAATCTCCTCTAACAGCCTCGACGGCAAGGTTTAGCGGCTGAGAAGGTAGACCATGGGAAAGTGCAATGCTCGCAGGCGGGGTATGTAGAGGGAAAGCAGCTGAGAGGACTTTTTGTTTTTTTGGCTTCTTGTTTTGGCGAGTACTGTACTGTACGGAGGTACAGCTGTTAAGTTTTGTATGTTCCACAAGCAAGGGTGTTTGGCTGGCGGTGGATACTTAACGCGAATTGGGAAAGCTTGAGCACAGATTAGGAAATTTTCCCTGGAAATTGCCCAATTCGCCGCCAATACCCACGCTAGCCCAGCACCCCCTGCTTGTAGAACATACAAAACTTAGGTGCTCCGTATAGTACAGCATGCCATCTTTGCAAACGCTGTGATACAGTGCGCCTGCACGAATCCGGTTCCCTACATGAACACGAATTATCATTTACAATATCGGTGTATTGCCTTCTGATAACGCTATTCGGTAATCATGCCGCACCGGTTACGTTCCGTGTCACGGCCAGCCTTCTGTTCCATAGCCCGAGGATCGGTGTCCTACATATCATACAGTACAATACTGTACTTGTCGAAATACCGGTAATGTAGCCGCGCAAACCCAATACCTGGCGTTTGCTGGCACTTTGTGTGGGGAATTTGTGCTACGGCGCTATAACTCAAGTGCCGGGGCAAAATGCATAAAATGCAAGAACAGGAGAAAAAGAACGGTGAAGGGGGAGGGGAACTGTTTTGCGGGATGAATTTGGATACCGTATTGGAGGGCCCTGAACAGAAATCTTTTTGTAAAGTTATCATTATCATCTCCATGAGGGGTAGTCTAAATGGTACAGTACGGTATGTAGAAGCCACCAGAGTGCTCCCATTCTTGAAAATTGGATTGCGCCATCGGTTGATCACACCAATGCTCTGGCTGGCATCTACTTTGATCGTGCGCTGCAAGGCGCAATGGCACGCCACGGGGCACTTGGAATGCCGGCAACCCCACCAATACCGTACCGGAAATTTCAGGTCACCTCATAATTCGGTGTGATACTGAGACAGTAGGACCGCAGTAACCATGTAAGGATCTGTGAATCGGAGCTCGCAATTTGTGGGGTTCTTCTGCTGGGATTCCACAACAGATATAACTTGGGTTTCTACTCGTATTGCTGTGCGCTACGTCTACCATAACATTCCACACGTGACTTGCCGCTCGGTGCACCACTGCGCTAGCGCGACGCAAGCTTGTAGCTCTCTCGCTCGCTGCTCACGGCACACTCCTGACCCCCCCTAAAATCATCAAGCGAGAGAGGAGAGGTGGGGGGAAGGGGAGGGCCACCGGGCAAGACAGTCTGCAGTTAAGTTACAGAAAAAAGCGAGATAAAAAAGCGAGATAATAATCAGGAGAAAAATTTGACATGCTCGAGCGTCGTAACCTGACCCACCCCGTCACAAAGAAATCTCTCGAATTCTCCCTCTTGAAATGCGGGCCTCTTAATGCGAGCGCTTCTCTGACTTTGGGATATTCGTCACTGGGGGACTCGACAGCTTACGGTTGCTTACCCACCCTTCCGTAGCGACATCGGACGAACAGCCGATTTTGGGGGTGATGACTGAGTATAATACAATAATCCCTCCCCCAACCGGACCGGTGATCGGGTGCTAATACTGTGGAAAAGGCACATTATCAGACCGCAGCGCAGTACCGATGGCGGGTTCGGCGGGAGCAAGAATGTTAATGACATTATCCTCACGAGGGGTGGTGTAGCTGATCAGAGTGGGCCTTGCTCCCCTGCGTCCCCCCCTTCCACTGTCGCTGAGGGGAGTGGGAGTAGGAATGTCGGACCTCATTGGATGGTCGCATATGGTCGAAATGAGTACTTTACCGGCCGGCAGGAGAGTATTTCGCGGATACAGGAGCTGTCGGAGGGAAATTCCCATAATCGGATTTCGTTGTATGGGTCGGGGGGAGCTGGGTATGTATGAGGTTTTTTCCTTTGGTTTTTTTTAATGGTATCGAGGATTACTAACTGAGTGTGTTTTAGCAAGTCACAATTGGCGATAGAATACGTATACCGGAATGAAGGCCTCCGGAATATCTTCTGGGTTCACGGGAGCAGCTTCCTGAGTTTCAGCCAGGGTTTTGGCTCTATCTCGCAGTATATCGACACGCCCGATAGCAGTGCCGGTGCCACCGAACATGGGCTACTCTCGAACGTTAAGAGGTGGCTCGAGAGCCCAGCCAGTGGACACTGGATCCTCGTGATCGATAATGCAGACAACGAGGACGACTTTGCTGGCAATGACAGTGCTATATGGAAATTTATCCCTCAGGGCTCCAAGGGGACTATCATCATCACGACAAGATCTAGACTGATCGCCAGCCGGCAAGGTTGTAAAGTCGTCGAGGTTGGAAAAATGGCGGACCCGGAGGCCCGGATGCTGTTTTTCACGCGCTTGGGGAGCTCGGGAACTATCGGACATGATGACGACCAGGCGTTGGGAAAGATACTCGACTCTTTGGATCGCTTACCGTTAGTGATCGTCGGTGCAGCGGCTTACATGGCTGAGACTAACACGTCACCGTCCGAGTATCTGGAGCTCTTTAGGAAAAAGGATGAAGCGAGGCAGCTTCTTGTATCGCGATTCCGAGATATCCATAAGGAGGTGGACATGACGGAGGGTATTCTCAGTACATATTTCATCATCTTCGACAAGATTAGAGAGCAGACGCCGTTGGCAGGGGACCTTCTTCGATTAATAGCCTTCTTTGGCCGCCAGGAAATACCGGAAGAGTTGTTTCTTCGGTGTGGTCTGGAAGATGTGAGGGATGGCGATCTTTTCCTTGTGGCCACCGAAGAGCTCTTGGGATTCTCTTTAGTTACACAAGCGAGAGATCAACCTATGTATGAACTCCATCGATTGGTGCATCGTTCCATTCAAGTCTATATTTCCATGGAAGAATTGTCTGGGTGGAGGAAGAGGGCTTTGCAGGTCATTTTACGCTTGTTTCCTGAGTATACCCACGAGCAACGAAATATTTGCGCCACTTATTTTCCGCATGCCCTCGCTGCCATGGAGGATGCGACGGGGCCGGCGGCTCGGCAGGTTGGATATCGTGTAGGGCTCTACCTTAGGGGGACGGGGCACTACGATGATGCGTTGGTGCAAGTTCAAAGGTGCCTCGCGTGGCATTTCCCGAGCGAAAGCCTTCCGGATATGCAGCCTCCCAAGAGGTGGTATACCAGAATAAGCCTCCTTGGATACCTTGGGAAGAGGCTAAAGTTCCGGAAATCGATCACGAACCTGGTGGCGACTATTCCGCCTAGCTCTAGATCTCGGCTTTCGTTTTTGAGATGGCCGAGGGTTCTACTGCCGCAACTTGACCCCTCAGCGCTTAGTAGTGCTAAACAATTCGAGCTTGAACGATTGCGGATGACCAGTCTCCTAGCATCTACACTACGGGGCCTAAGAAGGTACGACGAGGCCGAAAGTGCCTTTCGAGACGTGCAAGAAGCTAGAAGCAGAATTCTTGGTGCGAGCCACTCAATCGCCCTCACTAGTCTCGGAGATTTAGCCCTAGTGCTCCATGACCTGCACAGGTACGATGAAGCAGAAGCCATGTTCCGCCGAGTATTAGGGTGCTACGAAGAGGCTCTAGGCCGCACCCACCCGGAGACCCTAAAGGTCACAAACAACATAGCCCTGGTCCTCCATGACCAGGAAAGATACGCCGACGCAAGATCCATGTTTGAGCGTGCAATGGAAGACACGGGCGAAGCACTAGGCCCCACGCACCCGCAAACCCTAACAGCAACCCACAACCTAGCTTTTGCCCTTCGCGCCGAATCCAACTACTCCCAAGCAGAAACCATGTTCCGCCGTGCCCTCGAGGGCCGCGAAAAAGCTCTCGGCATAAACCACCCGCATACCCTGGCAAGCATTGTAGGCCTGGCCCTATCCCTAAAGGACCAGGAAAAGCACAGCGAGGAAGAAGCAATGTTCCGACGAGCACTAGAGATCCAAGAGAGGACCCAAGGTCCCGAACACATCAACACACTGGAATGCGCGAACAGCCTAGCCCTAGCGCTAGAAGGCCAGGGTAAACTGGAAGACGCGGAGAAGGTGTTCCGCCGCGTGATGGATAGAAGGGAGAGGGTTCTGGGATGGGGACACCCTTCCACAGTCAGGAGCGTTAATCACCTTGCGTCGATCTTGCAGGATCAGGGGAAGTTTGACCAAGTCCAGGAATTGTTTTTGCGTGGGGTCGGGGATATGGGCAATGGGGGCGGCAATGGAAGCTGGCCGGAAGATAGCAGTGGGAAGATTTGAAGAAGTTTTTTCTTTTTCTTTTCCGGTATTGGTTGGATTCGGTGGGAGGGGAGGGATAGAGGCGGTTGGGTTTACCGGGGCGTTTGAACGTGTGTTTGTATGGGTTGTGGGTTGCCATATCTCTGGAACTAGAGAAAGGTGTTCCATGATGGAGCACCTTTCAGCCTACCCGTTCCCAGCCCCTTATACTCTCTCTTTTCTTCCACGTCACTTTTCTCATTTTCAGCCACTTACCACGCAGTACATTATTTCTTCTTTTTTCATGTAATCACTATCTTTTTCCCCTTTCTCCAGCATGCAAGGACAAGCCAAATTTGGTGTAATCCACTTCTAAGCAGCACTCCCATGCATGCAAGCGAAGTTTGATATCACACCATATTATCTAGACCGGGCACGTCCCCACCCCGACACCCTCGGTGAACCACACACCCCACCGAGTGACACCCCATGACTGCCGTCAAGAAAGCACACATACCGCTGGAAAACTATAATTCCAAAACACCCCCACTTCTCCGAACACATGGAAACCAGTGGGCGTAGGTGGCCCCCTCCTATTACAGCACTTATCATTTCCACCGCCTTCCCTCCCTCTCTCAAATTTGAATCGCTCATTAGCACTCTGCTAAGGCTTCTGCTCGTTGCATTAAATATCGATGCAATCTTGGGGGAGACCAAGTCAGAAAGGAGGGGAGGAAATGTTGCAAAAGGTGGCGATGACTGGCGTGGACCTAGACGGTGTGTACGACCAAGCCCTGCAATGAATAAAGGAAAGAAGGGTGGCCGATCAAGGCTTCGTATGTAGGTGCCCACGCGGCTGCCCCATTCACCCCGAGCGTTGCGGATCAGTGAACCCCACCCTGCTCTAGAAGTAGAAACGGTGGTCGACAGATCTTGACCCAGAGAATATTCCTCCGGAAGGTACAGTCCTCGGGTGATGCTTAGAGCTTTCTGTGGTTGACAGCGAGATATCGACGGTCCGGCCAGCCCACTACACTCTTCGAGAATACCTTTTCCGCCCCTAGTATCCTACCTAATACCCACAAAGCACTTGTGCAAACGTACCCGGCCCATCCGAATCCCGAGCAGAGTCACTTTCGTGAAATTGGCTAACTGTATATAAATAGAAACCTCGTCAGAGTCCAGAATCTTTTGTTCAAAGGAAGGCTTTATAAAAAATTACGGGCTATCATGGAGAAATAAACGGCAATCTTGGGACTGTCAAGCGACAGACTAGGATTCTCCTCGTGGCAGTAGTAGGCGGGCGAGGCGGGGGGGGTGGTGAGTAGTTCAAAAAGATCTTCTTGATCATTTAGGCACTAGCAGGAGTTTACAACTCCTTACCTGGCTCATCAGGCGAGAGTTATCCAAAGACACAAAACCGATGACAAGCTGGAAAAAGTTGGAGAAACCATTGCGGGAAAATTTGAGCCAGGCACAAAAGGAGTCCAGGGGGGAGGGTCTCTAGAAGGCAGGAAGCTGTGACTTACTTATTTTCTGTATCATATGTCACCACCCTTTTTTTTCCAATCCATTCCCGTAGGATTCCATCTCCCCCCCTTTCCCACCCCTAACTGGGGCTAACGCCAATGGGTAAACATGGGAGAGATATGATAGCAGTATCATGTGAAAAGAAAAGAAAAAAAAATCCAATACCAAGGGTTTCATATTCAGACTAGCCTCTCAAACAGAGCCAAAACTTGTCTGGTGTGTCTGCTTCTCTCACAGAAAGCTTATATAGTGAGTTTAGATCCTTTTACTTTCGTTTTTGTTCCTATCCGTCTCCTCCTTCTCCTTCAATGCCCGTACGGTGGTATAAAATGGCAGGCCATGGTCGTAAATGGCAAGGTACCAGTTTCGTATGATATGCGAAGAATACGCTGTGACCAATCTTGTCTATTTTAGATGCGGATAGTTCCGGATAGACGGGTGGGTAGGAAGTTGGAAGCGTCGGAGAGCACATCGCCCTTCTCCTGGCGCATTCACACTGCTTTCATTACACTCGAGATAAATCACTAGATGGGCAGTAGTGCTCCAGTCGGGGGGAGTTTTTCTTTCCAGAAAAAAAAAAAAAGAAAGAAATGGAAGGGGCAAATGAAGAATCCAGATGCTTCCCCTACCAGTGTCAGTTTCGTCGGCTCTTTAACGACACCCGGTTGCCCGAGACCTGCGGGTTCGGCTTGGTGCTTTTCAACTGACCTTTTTTTTTTCTTCTTCGTTTTCTTCCCCCAGTTTTTAAAAATCCAATCCAATGCTGTTCGAATAATACAGAAAATTGCCATAATATCATCGAACAACCATTACCGTACAAAGACTTGCGGTGAAACGTACCTAAAACTGGGTCCACACAACCATATATATACTCGGGGAGGTGTGAAATAATCCGGAAGTCTTTCAGTTGCAAAACGGGAAATTGGGGGATGATCGGTCCTGCAACAAACCGGTGAAAAGCAATCAGGTCGCTGTCGGGTAATCTTGAACTAACTGTTAGAGTCGGATTGTTGCAACGAGTGACTGGATATGATTATGACCTGGGCCTTGCAACTCTCCTATTCGTATGATACAGAGAATGTTAGTCATGATAGAAACCAACGTGGAGCATGTGGCCGAGGAAAGTGAGAACCTGTAATGCCACATCATAGAAGACCATGGTCAAGTCGAAAGCTAAAAAGCTAAAAAGAAAATATATCATAGGTTAATGCAGTTGAGGTTGTAATTTAATGATAACAGAACCCAAATAAAGGACTTTGCGATGAAGCGGTGAAAATGCAACCACAAAAAGCTTAAGCTACAAATACTGCTACTATAGAGTACAGAGGGATGGAAATCTCGATAATCAATCAATCAGTCATGTTATCATACACAAGTTGCCCTCTCTACATCCCTCTCCCTCTCCCTCTCTCTCTCTCTCTCTTCCTTCTTTCCCCCTTCACACATAACCGCACAACACGCTAATCGCTCACAGGAACCACACACCCAGGGTTACAGTAAAAAAGTATCACAGATACCCTCTCCCACACAAAATAATAGCCTAACGCTCAAAAATGTTTCGTAGGGTCTTCCCACCCATCACAGAACATACCCAGCCTTGTTCCAGTTGCACGATCCACTCCTAAGATTACTTCCCTGTGTTTGCGGCCATAATCCAGCGGGCCCCCGTCCGGCTGTTATTGCAGAAACTCCACCACGTCATCGGATAGCCTTTGGCTATGTCCCAAAATTTTGGTAGTTGACCATCACAATATGTTGTGCCATGCATCCTTGTGATAGGCCCTTGGCCGCCTATCTCCCTCCTATTTCACCCCCAATCTAATCTCATGCCCAGCGATAGCTTCACCAGAATGTTGTGAAGGTGATTAAGGGAAAGGAAGGAATCTTAGCAGACCTTCAGAGAACCCAGAAAAATGTCCAGAAATTGGCACACGGAATCTTGTAGGCTGCGAGACGGGTAGGGCATATCAGCAATTTTGTTCGCAAAATAGTAAACTCGAATTATGTTGGCGATTGGTAACTCCCAATCCCCAGATCAAAACTCTGGACTTGCAGAATCAGGCCTGACGGGCGAAACCAGAGATGAAGGAGGTTTGTTGCGTTTCTGGTTTCCAAGTTAAAAAACGAAAGAAACGAGAGCAAGGAGACAAACCCCTCAGGTCTGGGGCCGGGCGAAGTCTAGGTTCCTCTCATCTCGAATTTCTAAAGCTCTTCCAAGTTCACCCCGGATTATCATTGACCCCGACGTTGAAGGTGAGGACGAGTATGATGACTGCAACCCCTTTTGACTCTACCCGCGATGTTAGTCGTAATCTTTCTTCCTCTTCTTCTTCCCTCCCAGCTTCGCCTTTCTCTATTCTCAATAGAACCAGGAAACAGAAACTTTCTAATCCACGACGTGCCAACAGCACGCCAACGAAATCTGTTATTTTACCCTGTGCGAAGATGTCGGCTGTCTATCTTGCCTGCGATTGAGTGAAGCTTTGCTGATCATCTTTCCTTTCCCGACCTGGTTTCTACCATTACAGACCACTAGCAACATTATAGGGCAGAATTGTACCCGCACCAGTATCAATCTCCACTCTTCATGGGCTTAGGTTGGAGAATAGGTCCAGTATTGGAGTGCCAGCGTAGGCTCATTGTAGTCTCGATTTTCTCCTCTTGTAGCTAGTCAGAGATCTCTAGCGCAATATAACACCCCATCCTTGCAGCGTAGAGATCCTGTAGGAAGCTTTCCTCAAATCTTAGGCCAAGTCAATGACATCCACTGCTCCCCCCCCCCCCGATTTAATGGTTCCTTTCTCTACCTCGCCCATTCCACCCTACTTGCTTTTGATACTTTGTTGTTTCCGGGTAGTCGGGGCTTGAGCAGAGGGAAGGATCTGATCTGATGACATGAGCCACCCGACAAGTACTACAGCACACGAGCAAGGCGCACCTCACGATCTCAGGGGCAAGCGCCTACTCGCTTTGGGGAACCCGCACGTTTAGGGTTTTTTTGGGAGCGGGGTTCCTTCCCCCGCCCTCAATTCCTCCAATGATACCCCTCCAAGATAGCCGCATTTTTAGCCAGCGATAGGTCCCGCCCCAAGCAAGTAGGACCCCGCCAACGAAAATTCGCCAACGAGCAAGGGAAGCCAGTCAAAAGTAGGATATCTCAAACAGCTACCTCAGATCTCTGCTCTTAGGCATGAAAACACCACAAGTCCCCCAACATAAAACCCCATGACTTTTGTCCTGCGCTAGACAGACACAGCCATAAAGAACCGGGAATTCCGAGGTTACAAAAACCAGTAATAGAAGAATCTCTTCCAGGAGCCATGAACTCCTCTCCCCTGGTTAATCAAAGCACACTACATTCCCCACCACCCCCCCCCCCCCAAAAAAAAGGGTACACAGGCCAGTCCAGTGAGCAAATATTCCCCATCAAGTTAGATACCGTGGAAATCACAGGTAGAGAAACCGGCGGGGAGTAACCCACCGCACCCTTAGCCAATTCCCAGAACCAAGCCTTTACCATGACGAGCTATCGTTTCGGCGTATGGCTGTCCAGAAATCCCAAAGACGGTAGCCGGCAAGCCCAGCGGTGCGACCCCCAGCCTCCTAATTATCTTTTTTTTTTTCCCTCCCCATCTCTTCCGGAACCCGTCTATACATTTGAAGGATGCCAGAAAAAAAAAACCCCCCTCAGGCAAGACACACGCACCATCCCACGGCCTTCCAGACAAGCTCAATCCAGTGTATCATGAACCACATCGTCACCGTTCATCACTCGATATAAAGAACACCGGGCCCGTTCGGTTGTTAAGTTTATCCCGCAGAAGAATCATACCCATCGTGTGCAGAGTACATCATAAATACATAACCAAAAAAAAAAAATCCCCTCCTCCAAGACCATTTTTCCCCAGTGCGTCCAAGTCCGTACCCAAGATCTCCCACAAAAACAATTGGACATCCGACACTCCCCAGCGATACTCAACAAGCACCCACCCGTGGTTGTACGAGGGGGTAGGGGAAAGTCTGGCGAACGTGGCGGTGCGTGTGGCGGTGCACCAAGCTTAACTGAGTTCTAATAATATACTCCACAGAAAACTCTGAATTTCCTCTTCGATAGCTACAAGGG